GTACAGAATTAAATACAAACAGAGATAGAAAATTCCTTGATTGTGAGCATGGAGATTTAGCTGCCTCATACCAAAATCTGTGAGAATGCAAAGGTGCTCAGGGAGTGGTGAGCATGGTCTGAATTTCCATCTGCTGGTTTTATTGGCTACAGCAGGTTGTAAAGGATGTGTGCTCTCAAAATTGCTGGAGATGCAAACAATATTTTAAATTACTCCAGGCAGCAAGGTACTGCATCTGAACAGATTGAAAGCTGAAATGTTGATATCAGAAATTAAATTAATGCACATGAGATTGAAACAATATCTAATTAAAATCACTTGAAAAATGACTTGAAAATTGAATATGACATAGTATTTAGCAGGCTGTTGCTAGCACAGAGACGTGGCTTTGACTTTTCTGCAACCATTTCCATTCCAGGCCTGGCTGCCAGTTAAATAGAAATTACACATAAAGCAGCTATCTCGTGCCATCACCCTGTAAAGATTGGAGGACAAAATACCTTCTGCCTGCAGCTTGTGTACTTGTTCCTCACTAATGACATTGTAAAATTTAGTACAGGAACCTTTCTTCTCACTTTATCTGGCCACTTGATTTGGTCATTCTTGTTCTGAGCTGATGCATTTTGAATATTCCATGTTGTGCTTTTGACTTGCTGTGTACATGCATGGCACAGTGTGTGGCCCTGCCAAAGACAAAGCCACTCTCTCTGAACCATGCTATGAAGAAGCTTTCCAAATATTCAAGGGTTCCTTGTAGGGGGGAGGATAAAGAAAAGTCCAACTTCATGTAAATAAATGTAACATTTGCTTGTCTTAGAGATACTTGTTAAAAAGCTAAAAACTGTAATAAGCACCATCTCTCTGGAAATCTCTTCCTCTTTTCCTCAGAGAGGAAAATAAATGAAATTCTTCTAAATGTGGCTGGCTCTTTGAACAGAACTTTGCAACAAGCTCATGGGAAGAAAACAGTGATTGTAGAATTCATCTGACAGCCTAAAGTAAATCTGAATTAGTTGCCCTCAATTTATTGACTGGAGGTCCAATCAATATAGTTAGTGAGTCTAGAGCAGGAATTGGCTCATCCTAAAATGGGCAGATAATAGCAGACAAGGGAATCATATGCCCATAAGTCCTTTTTTCCCTACATTCAATTAAATACAACACACACTCAAAGTCAGATACACACCAACAATCAAGTTTTCCTTGTGAGTGATGCCATCTTCCCAGAAACATTTTTCATATTTATGGGTGGTTTCTTCTTTGGGGAGCCAAACTGGGGAGGCTTCCTGCTGAAACTCTGCTGAACCTGGTTCCCTTTCTCCCACTTGTGCCAGTTTGTGCTCCCATGAGTCAGCTGTAGGGTGCAGCTGTGCTTGGCAGCCTGCTTGATAAAAAACCTCCTACCAGAAGTGCAGTAATGAGGCTGCAGCTCTGCTCAGAGCCCTCCATAACTTGCTCCTGCTAATAACTGATGGGCTCTGAGGTTAAACCTGCCAAACCTACGCACTCCAATTCCTGCCTGTGCCACTGACAGATAACTTTGCTAAAGAAATAAACGTTTGCCCTCAGAAAACACATCAGACCTCCCTCAGGTTGGTGGAGACTGAGCAGTGACAATCCCTACCCTTAAACACTCAGTAACACCCTCATCATGCTCTCTAATAGAGCAAAGCCATTAAGTTGTCCCCATTGTAATTTAGATCACAGAAGAGACTTCCACAGATTCTTTCAGGTTAAAATAACTGGTATACAGAGAGTAGGCAAAATTATTCCACTGTAGCTACGTGCTTAATTATATGGAATACTGCATAAATTGTCAAGTGCAAAGAATTATTCTGATAAATTAAAATACTAATTAAATAGGCTATTGCAGAATTTTGAGAACATTATAGGGCTCCGCTTCTTCAGGTAATTTGCATATCCTTCATCTAGTGAATTTAATTTAAAGGCCTCCGTTTTTGTGTGTTTGGAAGCCGTTTTTGTTTCAGTGGAAGATTAAAAAATGGATTTTTGTGTTGCTAACTGGTTTGAGAGGGATTTGCTTGGGGTATTTTTCTTTTTCTTTTCTTTTTTTTTTTTTCTATTTTGAATAGCTTTTTTTTTTTGTGCCTCTTTGCTGATGAGTTTGTCAATTCTCCATTAGTATTATAGGACTTTAAACTGTGACCAGAAAAAAAAATAACTTTGATGAAATGTCCAATATACTGTGTTACCCAGAACTGTGATTTCTACTTTCATAAAATTTGCTACTGAAACATCAGCTGCTATATACTGGTATTAGAGTAAAAGTTAGCAGTTAGTACATTAAGATATTTTCAAACATTTGGGCCAATTTTCAGAGAATTAGTAGCATGTTCTTAATATCTGAATACATTTTCCCATCACTTCTTCCAGCTATCTCTATTGACTATGTCTTCTTGTTTTAAGTTCTCCATTATAGTCCTGTGTAGAAAAGGTTAAGTGCTTGTATTCACCATTCCACAGCTTGAAGCAGCTGCTTGATATGTGGTTACTGCTTCAGCTTCAGCACCATTTTTGACAGAATTTCTTGACCTTCCTGGGCAACTTGTGGAGTTCAAGGTTAGCTAAAATTCTCAGCTGTACACGCCTGACACTGTGAGCCGTGTCTCTCTCCACAGTCTGACAGAGCCTGGGCTTGACCATTTTCCGGTTATGATTTAATCAATAACACCTCGTGCCTTCCATGCCTCCTAATTTTGGCAGGGCTTGTGTTAGCATGGCTGTCAGACCTGTCCTTTGTGTTTCAGCCAATATCAAGGGGGAAAGCAGGGCTATTAAATAAACCTTTTGTGTTGTTGTTTTTTAATATCAAAGCTTCAATAATTAATGTCTGCAGGAAACCTATGAAAAGGAGGTCAAATCTGTAATAGTAATTATAAAATTCAGTGATTCAGCAGACCCAATATTTTCTATTAACTGTTCATGTGGTAAGAAATTACACAGTGGGATTTAAGCTTTGTTGTTTACTTATAACCATTTATTTTGCAGCCATTCTGCTGTGCAGTTTTCTTTATCCTAAGCTGCCAAAGAATCCTTTGTTGGACCATTCAGTCTCTTTGAAGGAGGCTGTGGAACTTTCTCATTTTATAAATCTTCAATTTTTGCACTTGGTAGAAAAATGCCTTTAATGTGTTTTTTGGGTGCAAGGATGGTCAGTGTGGTAGCATGGCATATCTTTTCAAAGATTTACTTATTTTTTTGGAAATTCATACTGCACAAGATATACGACACTGCAAAACATGGTCTCATATTTCGTGTTTCTGTCAACTTGCCTTCCCATGGTCCCTTTGGCTCTCTGTGGAATAAATATGTTTGTGAACGTATAAAGCATGGCACAGGTGTTAAGTATGTGAGTATTGCATGCAGATTTTAGGTTGTCATTCAGCAAAATGTGCATTTAAGCTTTCTTAGCTTTGGACTCCAATTTCCTCTCTGCTTAATCAGCATATTAAAAAGATGCAAAAATAAAAGGGTCTGGGTCTAAAGTGTGTGCAGAGATTTCTTCTTTGTTTGCATTGAGGGCAATATTCACCCCTTGCAGAAGGCAGTCAGAAAAGTTTTTCTGTGTTGGAATTGCTAGAGGTGTAACTTCTTGAGTCTTTGCATGTAAAAACTCCTTAAAAAATCTTGCCATAAGTGGTGAGATGGAGCCTAATGATCAGACTTACCTCTGGAATAAATGTCAGTCATTTGTGTTGCACTTTGGACAAACTCAATAACGTATCAGTTCAGAATAATCTTCAAGTCTGCTGAAATCTGAGCTGTTTTAAATGTTTCAAATGGCAACAATTAAAGGGATTTTTTCACAAATTTAAAAAAAAAGTTCATTCCCTTAAGTATCTTCATGTAAATTTACAGTGTGCAGTATGTTCCTAGCACTTCTTGACCTTTCTGATTGGAAGGTTTGCTTCAGGCAACCCAAATTGAGAAGCTGCATCTATCAAATTTTGTTCGTAATCAAAGAAGCGGTAGGTGCCTGCAGATATGTGTAAGATGTGTGGGGTGACTCACCACATTAAATGTGCATCCCTTTCCAAAGACAGCAGAGAGAACCCAGAGGACTCACTTGGATTACAGGCAGCTAAAGGAAGGAGAGGTTAACAAGGCTGCAAGGCTTCACTGATACGCATAAATAAATCAAGCCAGGTGGCTGGGTTTTGGCCACGAGTCCAACTGACAAAGTTTGCAACTAGAAGGTTAATATCTCCCCATCCAAAATGAAATGGCAATACCCATACACCCAGCTAGGAATAATCTCATCCTGTTCCCAGAAATGTGGTCGAACACTGTTTTTTGAGGCTGCTGACAGTCACAGGCCAAAACATATCAGACCATGGGATTAAGGGAATGGGCAATTGTACAACAGTGCTCAGGCCCATGCCCTGAGCATGTTTGGGTTCCAAGTATGATTGTAGTCTTAGTGATTATCACTTTTATTTAACTGCTTTATTATGGGTTGCTTTATTGTAGTTTTTAATGCTTTTAGTGATATAGATGCTGATAAAGAGAAAAAATGAAATTTAAAAAAAATGTGCATTCCATCCTGGTGGTGTGAAATAAGCTCTTTATTTTACCTGTGAGATAAGAGTCTGTATCTGTTGTGAAAAGTCCTACACAATGACAGTGCTGTTCTCATGGTAAATTACTGCTCTGCTCTTCAATGCAAGCAAGTGGGAAATATCCTCAGAAAAGAACTTGCCAAACAAATTCTGTATCTGTGTTAAATGTGTGTAATATTGTGGAAAATAGAATTAGCTTGGCTTTCTTTTTCACATAATAATGAGCAATTAATAGCATAAATATGCATTCAACAAAACTGAATAGCAGAGCTTCTCTCAGGGAAAGATATTCCATAGATAGAATAGGTATGAACTGTCGTGAATATATTGATGAAGGAAAGAAGGTTGGTGGGAAATGCTGTGAAATCATACATATTCCAGCTGTCCTTTAACTCTCTCGATCTTCATTTTTCCTTACAGCCATAAACAAAGAGAGGCTTGAAAAAACAACTGGACTGAAAATTCTGCAGACTGGTGTGGGGGAGGTAAGTGGCTTTCAGGCATTTTACATTCTCAAAAATATTTTCGTTATTGGGATTTTTAAAGAAATTTTGGAGCTCATGAATGTTTGTGAGCTACCAGTCTCATGGTGCTAAGGGCCTTTTTATGATACAGTTGCATCTGTCAAAATACAATCTGCTGCACAAATAGCACTGTATCCCACAGAGAAAAAAAATACCATCCTTATGAGAAAAGTGCAGCCAGCTTTAAGAAATGCAGTTTTTGCTTTGTTGTATCACAGGATAAAAATCCCCAAAGATGAGCACAGTGACTGAAGTCGTCATATTATTCCCCTTGGTTTTGATGGAGTGCTATCTCATCTAGAACAGTGGAAGTTTAAATTTGGGATAAAGAATCTTTAGATATTAGAGAGAATCTGACATCTGAATGTCTCGCTTATTTTGGATATAACTTGAAACATAAATAAAACATGTGTCTGTTATTATAGTGATATCACTAAGCAAAAACTCCACTAAGCAGTTCATCATTTATTAATAAACATGATGCTATCTGCTAAGAACCTTGTATGAACTACAGTTGATTGCTAATTCTCGTGCTAATTTTGTGTACACAGTTATCTCCTTTTTTTTTCATTTAAGTAATTTTGCTAGTGGTGAATGCTCACAGGGCTAGGCAAATGTCTTTTTCTCATGATTGCATTATTCTCAGTATTAAAAATAATGAATTACTAACTTCTAATATACTCAAGGAATATGTTGTTTTCTTTCTTTACCAATTTTTGAGGGTTGTATTTCTGATTTTTATCAGTTCATGCCTAAGAACTTGATGAGATTTGTGAGGTTCACAGTGCAAGTTCATTCATGTTACTGAAAGACTTGGTCTTGAAGGGGTAATAACACTGAGACCTGCTATGATGCTGAGGGCCAAAGCTGAAAGAATTGGAACTGGAAACAAAGACAGGTGAAATCATCAGAAGATGAAAGCCATCATCTCTCCTTAACTGATTTATCTAGGAATGTTTCTTATGGGTGCATAACCTTAGGAACTGTGAAGAACATCCTGGGGCATGGCTGTGCACCTCAGGCTGTGTCCTGGCTTCAGGCCAGGCTGAAGTTTGTGGCTGTGCTGTCTGCAGCCTCTGGTTTCTGTTCAATAGCAGGAGAACCAGGATTGGGGTACAGGCAGTGGAAGCCACTCAGTATAATTTTACCCAATGGGACTCGTCCATGCTAATAAAATACCTCCATGTATTTTGTCCAATTCCAGTCATTGAATGGATTCCAGTTTGCTGCAAAATCAGTTGGAGAAAGAAAGCCCACTTCAGATGCTTACTGTTAAATCAGTTTTTGTATTATATGTGGTCAATGGAGGTAAAATTCCCTATTTGGATAGTTGGAATGCAGGAAGTTTTCACCTGCTAAATGATTAATGCCCATTGTAGCAATAGCCTTGCTGTAACCATGGTTAGATAAGGGATGTGCTGGAGCTGTAGCTTTAAGGATTTCCTAGAGCATGAAAAATTGAAGAGTTCTTAGGCCAGAGACCTCACCAGCCTGATTCTTGTGTTTGGTTTAGAAAAAGTCACTGTAGAACTCACCTTCCATATATTTAGGCTGTCATAACTTTTTTATAAAAAACCACTGATACAACTTGGATTAATGAAGATTTTGACAGAATTTTGTGCTTTACACTCCACCAAATATGTATTAGTAGGAGGCAAAAAGTGAAAATTGATTAACCCAAGTGAAGCAGACATTTTGGCCTAAATATAATCCAAGTTATATCTGAAAGAGGATGATCAGCAGAGAAAGAACCAAGTGGTTTGGACCAAGTAACATGATGGAAGAACATTTATTCAGCTGCTTATGTATTTTGTTGGGTGCGAATTCTCCCAGCTGTATACATTCCCCTTTCTAAGTCTTATCAGATATGATTGTGTACATAATTAATACATTTCTGTGGTCTCACATAAATGAAAAATAGAGGAGTGCTGTGACCAAGCATTTTTTCTGTTGATACAGTATCAGATTCAGGCTATTTCAGGTCAAATTCAACTATGGTAATCCAGTTTTGCAGTTTGTGTTTTATTCACCCTGGTGAATAATTATTATTGAAATAATAGAAAGTATGTATTTAAAGATAATGGAAGTGCTTCATGTTGAATAAGGTTTCTTTTTACTTCATACTGGAATTAGGAATGGAATTATATGTAATGGTGACAGTAAATCAAAGTCAAGATGCTCTAATCAAAAGTACTTATGAAAACTTTAGTAGAGAATGAGAAATGGCCTTTTTGTTTGGACACCAGGTGAGATGCATGACAAACTTAATGGACATATAATCTTCATATGCAGGCCTGTAAAATAAAAAGGATTGATTTTGCAAGGCAATTTTCATATCTGAAATACCTCAAGAGAATATAGCCCAGATGGCTGGGGCAAATGGAGCACTGTGGGGCAAAGGGAGCCACTGTCCAAACAAATGCAGGAGCTCTCCGAAGCTCAGCAGTAATTCTTGTGTGGCTCTGGATGGTGGAATCTGTTTTAGGTGTCGATCTGTGATAACAGGATTTGTGTCTCAGTAAGGAATGTGTGGACACTGGTGACTTCCCAGGTCTTGGCTGTGCTGGAAGGAAACTGTGTCTTCCTGTGAGCAGATGAGGAATGCTTCTCAGAGCTCCTCAATCTACCACTTTCCCCTATCTCAAGAAAAAACATTTCAAAAGCAACAACAGACTATGAAATTCACACCAAGCTTACTGAGCCATTCAGTCAAGTCCAGGGAGAGCTGATGAATTGCTTTTATGTCGCTGCATAAACATGTGCTATATAGTCATTAACAACATGGGTCTGGAGTCTACCACAGCTGCAATCCAGTTCATCATCTTTTTGTCATGTGAAAGATTTCCACAGCTTGTGATTCTCCCAGCTAGGCCTGAGTTAGCTGTGTTGTGTCAGCGTAGGGTAGGCTCTGCTTTAGCTGCAGTAAAATGAGTTCCTAAGCTGCCACTTCAGCAGCTGCTCATGTTTCAGGATGTTGACTTAAAAGTTTTGTACATTTCAGGGCAAATGTGAATTATAAAATGCAAAACACTGTCTGGACTCTGGGCAAGCAGAGTTTCTTTCAGGCCATTACAGAACAGATTTCACCAGTATTTCCACCATACATCCACCTCAGCATTGAACATTTGTAACAGAATATTCAACAGTACGGGGATCCAGAGAGTTAGATTAGAGTTTGATATGATGTGCAACACTCTTAAAATGAGAATTATTTTATCTCATTTTATCTTGTTTGCAAGGAGGCAATTATTCCAGAAAACCAGAATAACTCTGCTGTAGAGAAAACGAGTGCTGAGCTTGTAATCTTGAGGATCTGTGCATTGCTGTAGTACTATCTCTGGAATTATATTTGCCAAGATGTGTTTTTTTATTTGCAGCTTTCCAGCACCTATAACAGGAGCTGGAAAAAAACTAAAACTAAAAAACCAGTAAAACTCCTCTACAGTATCCATGTGAGATTTGTTGGACTCATTGTCATGCATGTTTGTGCCAGACAAATCCTTCATGAGCATTTCACACCTTCTTGTTTATTCAGATACAATGAAGCTTTGAGGTATTTTCTTTTGATCTCCTACACATGAAATAAATCTCTGAAGTCCTGAGGTCATCTTCAGCTGTTCTGCTGTGTCTTTGAGGGTATGACTGCATGTGCTGTGTTATTTAGATGTCTATTTGCATAATACCATGAAAGACACAATACTGGTAAAAACTGGAGAGCTAAACAGCATTTAAGCAGGACCCATAACTTTTCTCCTCTGCCCCAACTTGATGTGAACCACTACTTGAGTTGAACTTGCTGCTTTGAAGGCTGAGCACTCCTGCAAGATCTTGGGGATCTCTTTGTCTCACATGAAGGGAAAGCCTCCTTAGCAGCTGCACAGCTCCACCTGACTCCTCCTGAGTTCAGGAATCTGCACAAGCCCCAGTCCCACACCAAGATTATTGCAACTGGATTTGTTCCCAGGAGTTTCTCTCCAGCTCAAGGAGCTCAGCAGACACCACCAGCCACAGCCCTGCACAGGAGTCACCGTGTCAGGTATCCCTTCAGCATCATTTAGGAACCTAGGATGAACTTTAGGAACTACTTCTATCTCTTCACATAAGCACCATTGAGTTATTACAGGAACACAGTATTTTTAAGTTCAATTCCATGCACAGGTTGGCTGTGACCAGAATTACTGTGACATGAATAAATGTTTATTCAGCTTTTGGCTGCAATTTGTTTTCAACCACAGTTTCAGAATAACAAGTCAGGCTCTCCAGTGGCTCAAGAAAGTGTAATCCAGTTTTGGGGTATAAGAGTCTGTGATTTGAATAATCAATTAATGAGGCCTGAAACAAACCCAGGGAATGGCACTGTTCCTGTCTTGAAGTGACAAAACAGCACCCACTTCAGAATAAGTTATATTAAATTACCTCTTTCAATTTCCCAGTAAGAATGCACAGAAGAAACTAATCATTGGAATCATAACTTCATTTGTAGGATTTGAATCATGGCTCTCATATGGCAGACATATAAATTAGAACAGTTTTCTAAAGCAAATGGAAATAACCCAAAATGTATGCAAAATGAATGCTTCACCATACCTCTAGATATCCTAAAATAGAGCAGTGATATTTTGACATGTTTCAGGATATTCTCATTTATAGATATTTTGATAGGTGTAGAATTATGTTGATGTTGCATAAAGTGATGTTACTACAATAAAGAAATCTGCGTTTAAAAATTCTAGTGAAGCTAGAGGACATGATAAGATAGAGTTTCCAGAGATGTACAGGCTTCTGAGGCTGATTTGTAGCTTCTTACCTTCCTTAATGTTGCCAGATTTTGTCCCTATACATCCAGATTTAACCTAGAATGATAGTGGATTGGAAATCCATTAAAAAAATTGGAGTACAGAACTTGACAAATCATTTTCAGTTGTTGATCAGAATAAGAATTTCTGATCTTTGAGTACTAG